CAGTCAGCCATACCTTAGACCCTGGAAAAGTACCATCTCATTCTGGAGGCCATCTCTGCCCCCACAAAGACAAGATTGTGATCAAGAGTAGTTGGCATGGGATCACTAAAGGCAAGTCATGTTTGACCAACCCAATTGCCTTCTATGACAAAACAACTGCCTGGATGGATGAAGGAAGAGAAGTGGACGTTGTCTACCTTGACTTCAGCAAAGCTTTCAACACTATCCCACAGCATCCTCCTTGGAAAACCCTGCTTGAGTTGGACCAGATGACCCATTGTGGTTCCTTCTAACCTAACTGATCTGTGATTCTGTGAAAATTTCTAGGTAAGAATTCCACAAAACATTGTATGTAGAAGCGCAAGAGGTAATTGCAAAAGCCAACTACTTTAAAAAACCCAGGACTCCAACTTCACTTGATTCCAAAAAGGCCTCAGCTTAACAGCAAGAAATATTTGGGAGGAGAGAATGAGCTACAGAAGCACAAAATCGACTACAGCCACAGCACTTTTATGACCATGTTGGCTCATTATCAATATGGTGTTTAGAAAATAGCAAAACTTTGGTTTAAATCACAACACTGTCTATGTTCCTCTTACAGTAAATGTAAAGAGGAACCAAACTCCCTCTTGATAAAGTCAAGCCTTTGTTGGAAAAGGTGTTTTATCCATTTGAGTGTTTGCATTTCAAGGAAAAAAAATATTTCAAAAGCTTCTTTGAATAAAAAAAAGAAACAAGAAAGCAAATGTAAACAGAATTGGTGTCAATTGATGACATGCTCCCCAGCAGTACTTTTGCAAAAAGACAACAGAAAACAAATTAAACATGGACTAACATGCAAGAAAATTATACAGACTTCTGAAGGCAAGCAGCAAACTCAATCAGTTTGCCAATGCTCAATGCATCCCCAGTAGGTGTTTAAGGCAAGGAGACTTTCCTCAGTTACTCCAGACTTATCACCACAGAGGACTGGCTCAAAAATTCAGGGGGATGTTCAGGGTGGGAATAAAAAAATCACAACTGATGTCTCCTACAGATGAGAACACCTATCTGGGCACAGGGATATCTCAAATTGCCATATCCCTTTGGCAGGAGCAGTCTTCCCTGAGACTGTTTCTGCTGGGGGAGAGCCAGGCTAAAGGGGAGTCCACAACACCTTAGGCAGGATACAAGCTGTTCTGGACAAAAGTGTACTTTTAGGGATGGTTGTCCTCACTTGCACTAAAAACACCTTAGCAGACTATGTAGAGAGTGTAAATTTAAGTGTGCAAGCCAGTTCAAATGTCTGAAGGTCCAGTGATATTCCCAAACTGGCATTTGTTACTGGCCTTACCTGTGCCAGCAGGATCTACAGACATTGCAGTCACTGCAGAAGGCTTCAGCTTTAGGCAGCAGCTCTGTAAACAAACAGGGATCATCACACATTATCCTGCACTTCCCCTTGACCACTTCTTCCTGGGTTCAAAATGACAGACTTTGTCATTCCCATCCTTCCCAGACATAAATACACATTTTGCACTGGATTTAGGTGTGTTACCCACTCCATGCTCTGCTGTCCAAGCTATCTGTGCTCTGCTGATCGTGAAATAAATTATTTGATAGGCATGTTGGAAAAATGAAATATCTAATTCCTCCTGAAGGAAGATCAACAGCCATTTCTCTTTAAGACCTATGCCAATTAAAATCTGTCTGAATCCTGAAATATGGCTAATGTTGAATCAAAAATTCTGAAGGTACTGAACATAACGGAAAGTCCTTTTCATCTAGTTGCATCAACACAATTAGCTACCTACCTTGTGGATATAGGTAACTTCTATCTTCTGTAGAAAAATATTTGAAAAATATTCTTAAATTGAATGATTTTCCACTGAAAATCAAAGAAGCAGGAGCACACACATTCAGCCAAAGAGTTATATTTATATATACATAGTCAAAGGTGTACAAACATTTGGCAAGCAATGTTTTTTGGCTTGGTTTTCATTCAGATGGCAAAATCTGGAAAATGTAATGTGTTCTAGCCAAAAGAAGCCTCTATTGCAATTTGAGTTGAAAATAAGCAATTCTTAGGGGGGAATTGAGATCCCCCAGATCTGGAGGTGCAAAGGCAGGTCAGCCTTTTTGGAGACTTCAAATACTGAACTGTTTCTCTATGTTGTACTCAACCTTGTCAGTATTTGTGATGGATATAAAATGTTTGTTTCTATGAACCTATACCTCAGAAAAACAACAAATTCAAAGAAGAAAAACAGCACCCATCTAAACAAAAATAAAGATGTGTTTTGACAGAGTCCAGTTGATTAAAAGGTGCAAAAGGCAAGGAAAAAATATTAAGGCTCACTGAAGTTCTCCACAACAGTAGTCTCATTGGGCTGACCACCTCAGGCCCCAATAGGAAAAAATTTTATAGAAAGATTATCATTTATTATAGAAGAATTTCCTTTATGATGCTGAAGAAAATACATAAAAGTCTTAAAAAAGTAACTCAATGCTTTAAAAAATATCTTGTAACATGGTTTTCCTCCACTTGTGAGGTTATGCTTCACTTCCAGGTGTAATAAGCATCTAATCCTACCTTTTATACTGTAGTGGAAACCAAATTACATTATTTTGCATTGTGATTGCATGTGCTAAAGAAAGTAAACCTGAAATTAGAATCCTTGTGCACTTCCAAAAAAATAGTTTTTTATTTTGCAGGCAATTTTTTTCTTCTTAAAATATACAATATCACAATCAGTGAGTCATAGGATTTCCCTTGGGACAAATTAAGCCCTTACATGAAATAAATCTAGGAAAAATATGTTCATTCAAATCAGGCTTCAGAAACATTACTCAGCTTTAAAGACTACGATGGGAAAAATAAAGCAACAAACTGTTATATTTACAGAGTTCATTTATTTCTACAAGTTAACACTGCCTACATTCAAACTTTCAAGTAATGTGGCACAATAGGAGTGAATGCGTGAGATGAAGCAGTTGGAGCTGAAAATCCCACATCCACACTGTTGCACTTCAGGTGGTTTTGTGTTGGATCCCATGCACTCAGCATCCATTAGCAGAGGAGTGGGGTTAGGTGCACTCCTGGAGAGTGACAGATAGTTTATTTTTATCAGAGAGAATTAGAGTTTGTTTGCTCTGAAGATGCTTCATGACAAAGGCCAAACCCTGGTGAACAGGGATGGCAGGAGATGGCCACAAAGACAACATTCTGACTCAAATGGAAGTACTAATAAAACACATGCACTGTCAACACAAGAGAAAAAGACTCTTTAAAAATGTTTGCCTAAAACAAGTTTCAAATAACACTTTAAGTTAATGTAAATAGAAAATATTTAAAGAAAAAATTGTTTGCAAAATGCTTTCTGTGTCTTAAATTACTCCTCTTCTACATAATCAATTACTTGCATTTCCCTACGTCTTTGAAATTCCAACAGAGATACAAGAGATAAAAACATGTATAAATTTAAGACATATTACTGTAAACCCTTAAAGTGGTAGATATTCTGGATATATACAACACATATACAATACACAGTCTCCCTTTACTGTAGTGGTCTGGCTACTAGTTGTGCTTTTCTCACAATTTAGTAAGTTTAATGTTGCTTAGTTCCATAAAAGTTTTCATGAAACTTGCTAACAGCTCAAAAAAGTAGTGCATTCAATAGTTAAGTATTATATTCTGAACAGAGTGATAACAAACCTTAATCTTAAGGTTGAGTAGTCGTTAACAATATAAAACCAAATTTCTAAGCATTAAAAAATTACTTTATCTACAACTATCTTTAAAAATAAGGTAAAACCTCAGATCATATTTGTGGCAGATCTCAGCTCAAAAATAGTCCTGGAGATGAATTTCATTTGATTTTATCAGTTTTGATGGCCTTTCTCTGTTTCTGCTGAGATAAAACCCAGGAGAAGACAGGCAGAGCACCTGTTTCTCAGTGTTTCAAAGCCCAGTTAACAGGAGTGTGCTTGATTGAAGAACACACACATTAGGCACATATCTTACTCAAATCAACAAATCTGCTGTACCTTGCCTTAAACCTTATTCATAAAAAAAGATTGCATTTATTGCCATGTCTATACAGTATTCCCACCAGTGACATTTGTTTCTGCCCACCAACACTGTTATAAAACCTTAAAAACAGGTTTGCCTGACGGATAACTGCAGAACCATATGCTTCCAGATAGGAAATATTCATACAACAAAGGAGCTCACATTCAAATGTTTGACTTATTTGAAGGTGATTACTCAGTTGCTGGATTTCCTGTGCGTATGCACACAAAGAAACACTGGTAAAACCAGTAATCATTTCCAGTCTGGTAGAAAGTTTAACATGCATAAAATGACTGTTCTCACACAAAAATCTTCCTGCCCCACTGGCAGAAATATTGTCTCAAAAGATGCTTCTGTTGGCTATAGTACAAGAACTCTGGAATGAAGAAACCTTGAACTCGCCACCACAAAGGTGTAGAAACTGCTGTGCTTCTGCATCAGTGTGCTGGGGCTTCCAGCGAGCCAAAAGAAGTCAAATCAGGCTGCCAAATGGAGTGACATGAAGAACATAGTGTGTGAAAATCAGCTTTATCTCACCCTTTCTCTCATGAGAGTTGGGATCTCCAGAGACAGCCAGCAGGATACATTCTTCACAGTACACCCAGCTTACACATCATTTAAACCTATTTTTCACTGATAAAGCAACCAAAATCCTAGTGTGAGGAACCTACAGTTTGTTAAAATAGGACACTGTAACAAAAGAAATAGTGAAGAGATGAGTTCCCCCATAGAACAAGTTCTTGCTTTCTACTTTTAAACCAACCATGTTAAAAAATATTTTCCAACAGCATTGTTAAATACAGTTCTGGTAAGTGACTTGCTCGGTATCTATCTTGGCTGTGACTTGTTCCTTCAGTTTGCAGGATGTTAGAAAGGGGGATAAATCTCCCTACTCTCTGTATTTCAGGTTGAAATGAAACATCAAGCCAAAAGCTGTACATGAAGATCATGATCTCTGGTCTTCCTCTGGTGGGATGACTTCCAAGAGGATTTGCAATGTTATCGTTATCCTGTCTGCAAAGATAAAAGCATACACATGGGAACATTTTTGGGGGGGATGAAGAAGGCAAAAGCAGCCAGGAAAATTCTTAGCTGCTGTATAGCCTACTACCACATACATTTCACAGTGATCATGTATATCACACATATACATATATGCATATATATACACATACACATACATATGTATACACACATATCAATCATTTAAATTCAAAATTCTCTTCCTTTCAAGTATGTTTTATTTGCCTCTGATTCAAGGCTATGCATATACAATAATAATGTAAGGGTATGGATGTATAATCTTATTCAATAAAGGTCTGCATGCATTTAAAGGCTATCTTAAAGTATGATTGCTCTGCACGACTGTTTAGTTTTAACTAAGCAGCCAAGTTTGGAAGGTTTCAAACAAGCTAATACAGCTGTGCCAAGATCTTTGCAAGCAAAAAACCAAAAAAAAAAAAAACACCAACAAAAACCAAAATAAACCAAAAAAAATTACATGAAAGGAAATAACGATTACAAAGCTTAACAGATCTAAGAACGTACACATCCAAAGCAACTTCATGCCGGTCTTTTATCACTCTGGACATTTATTTCCTCCTGATGTTTTTAGGGGGGTTTCTTTTTAGGGTACTGATTCATAAATGGTACAGTTAATTTAGATACAGAATAGTGAGAGAGCATTTTCTTATCATTCCTTTCACTTTAAACAAGCAGAAATTGTTGTAAAAGAAAGTTCTGATTTTTCTTGTCTAGCACAATGTGCTGTTGACATTGACATCAATGTAAAGCCAGGAGGATAAAACAGTGCAACTCACAGAAGATATGAACTGAAACCACTTCCCTGACCTCCTGTCTAAGGCAGACTCTACCATCTTTTGCTCTTTTCTCTGGATGTCACCAGTTCAGTGCAAAGCCAGGCTGCCTTTAGACTAAAAACTGATAGGGTCAGAGAGGCTGAGAGTCCCCAGGGACTGTATTTTCATCCCATCTGCCTTCCCTACCCGCAGAGGGGACATCAGAGCTGGGCTGAGCATGGCTGGGATGAAGGACAGGAGGAAAGCCAGCAGCAGGAAAACAGCAGGACTTCACCCCTGCCATCCCACCCCTTCAAGGTTTGAGGCTGAGCAAAGGAAGAAGAGGAAAAGCAGGATTTTATGAAGATGAGCTCTGGTGTAACAGCTCTTGGAAATGGGCACAGCAGCAGAGGGAAAGCCTGGGTGTCTGAAGAGCTGGTTGTGATCTTAATATCCTGTTCACCAAAGTGGACAGTCACCAGCAGCAAGACCTTGCCCACTATTCCATTTCTATGCAGCGGTTTTGCCATGGAGGTTCAGACAAGTTTGGGGGCAGAGGTTCTGCTTTGTGGGTTTTTTTGTTGCAATGTGCTCAGAATCAATCAGTATAAGGAGTATTTTCCCCTAAAAATTACATTCCAATCTGTCTGCAGTTGTTATCTCTATATTGTCTGCTTGGAGCAGTACCTGGAGTTACAGGAATAGTTTCCCATTTGTCACAAGACAACCTAACATACCGTGACAGTACAGATGACTTCCCCACCCCACTTTGAACCCTAATTTTTCCTTTCAAGAGGAGAATTCATTACAAATGAGTACCAGGGACGAACCTTTATTAAAAAAGCCAGACCTGGTATTTACACAAGCACCACATAAAGTCTGGGTGTGGAAAAAAAGCAGAAATGTAATGCATATATATAAGACTGGATGTGAAATCCATGACAACAAAATGATGAGATGATTCCTCTCATCAACAAACTCGACAAAGAGAAGCAAACTGAACATATAACACTATGACCTGAGTGAGCAAGTGTCATCCTCTGGTACTGGTAAATAATCCTAACAGAGACATTTTGTTGTATAAAGAGATCCTATTTCCAGCAAGGGCTCAGGCTATGAAAAAAAGGTAGGATTCAACTTTTCTTTTAAGCTCCTTATAATTCAATCCACTGTAAAGATATAGATGTTTTAAATATGAGTCTAAGGTTGGGATTTCAACTGAGGAAGTGCAAATAGAACCAGTCTTGTGCTGGTGCCACATCCTTTTACACACTGATCTGCTTCATATGATTTTGCTAGGCTTGACTTTTTTCATTCTCACATTAGTTCTACAAAAAGCAAGAAAGCAGAGGTCAAAGGAAGCCTGTACAAGCTGAAAATTATTTGTCCCAGCACATCTGGTTCTACAGTGAATTTCTTTGGAAGAGGAGAGAACAAAATGTTATTTACACAGCAAAATACCACCCAGAACCTATGAACCCTACAAACTGTGAAGCTACCTTTTGTTCAGTACAGTAATTTGGTAAGGAGAATGGGCAATGCAAATGCAATTAAGAACAGTCAAAATGTACAGAACAAAGACATTCAGCCTTGGGAGAGAATTCCTTGGGTAATCCATTCGAGGCCACTGCTAGTGTAATCAGTCTGAAACTCCTTTCAGAAATGTACATAACTTCAGGCTGGGTCTTTTATCCCACTACTCATTCCGACTGTTGAACATCTCACTCCTCTGATACTTACAAAGCCTATTCAGAATATCCAGTCTGATCTTACGTGAGGTTGGTCTGTACCTATGTGGTTTTGCACCAGTGTTGACCTTTACTTAAACAGCACATGTTCCATATAGGATTTATGAGCGCCAGTCATCTCTCATCACCAAACCACAACTGGGTAGCTGAAGCAAGACAATTCCACAACAAGGTGACTTCTCAGAGGGCAAAGCCCCCACACCAGCCTGTCCATGTGCTGATCTGGGCAGAAGCAGGAGTCTGGGAAGAGTCTTGGTAGAACCACACTGTGTTCAGACTAACAGGCTCCAACTCCCACTCTGGCACTACACAAAATGCTTTCTGGAAGTCTAAGTAGATTGGATTCATCACATCCTCCTTTGTCTAGAAAAGCCAATTATCTTATCAAAGAAAGCTACCCAGTTAGACTGGCAAAAAGCTGCCTCTTCAGTAACAATCTGATTTTTTCATGTTGTCCTTTACCTCATGTCTGGAATTACATTTTCATGCCTATGTACACCTTATGCATATTGTTTCAGTAAACTTGCAGCTGCCCAATGACTTCTCTTTTCTATATTGCACAGAGGTACCTTAAGTGAATTTATCCTCATTGAATGCCTTTGGAAAATGTTCTTAGGCTATACAATGGGGCTCTGTTAACACTCACAAAATAATGCCAGTTTAATGACTCTACACAGAAGGTTTATTATTTCTTCTTCTGAGGGAAAAAAAAAACCCCTAATTATTTAACAAGCAAATCTCCACTGTTCTGCACCACAAAGCTGTCAGCATTACTTTTCTGTCCTTATTGTTGTTATTTTGGGGATAATAATTGCAAAGCAAACAAGCTGTTTCACCCACTGACTGAGTTCCACTGGTTTCCCCTTTGAGCCAGTACACTGTGCCCATAGGTAATACACCAGCATCAGGCCTTCTTTCTAGGAGGAGAATTTTGTGTTATCTCAAAAACTAGGAATTATTCACCTTCATTGTCACAGCTGGCAGAAAAATCTTCACATCTATCCAGTCTACCTTAAAGAGAATATTTTTTCTCTCACCCAAGTAATGTAGTTCAACACTGGCATCCTGTGGCCAAAGATTCAAGTAACTGTATTCCAAAACCTCTGAGACATGACAGAAAATGCCAAAAAGACCCTGGGTTTGATAAGGGAAAACTTCCTAGTCCCTAAATGTCAAGACTCAGAAATTATAAACAGACTTAACCCAAACTATTTAATAGAATGTCCTTTTGCATACAACTGCTTTAATTTGCACTGGATGTTTCTACCCATTCCCTGGACACTGCAAGTAATTTATAACTTTATGGATATAAAACTGAGAGTGTGCTAGCCTTAAACTAATGTCTTTCCATAAATAGTTTCTGTCCTAAAGGCTGTGGAATTCCCAGCATGAGTTGAGATTCTACAACATATAGAATATAACTATGTAACTTATATTTATATAGAGAAAATACATATAAATTGTTATAGTGTAATAACATATATATCAAAACTATTATTTTCTTGTGAGCAGTTTAAATAATCACTTAAGACTGAAGTGCAGAAGACAGTGTGCAGTTTTGATTCAGCATACATACAAATAAACTAGTTAAAAACTTTCACATGTTGAGTTTTATTTTTGCAGCAAGAGACTTTCTTTAGGCTTTGTTCAATATGTTGTCCATCATTCCTGAAATATTGCCTAAAGTCTTGTTTGATGTTTTGAAAATTCCCTTCATTTTGGAAACCTATCATACTGAGCAACCAAAAAAAGAGAAGAATGGGAAGTGGTAATAAATGACATTGAGTTCTAATTGAAAGGTTCCAGATAATCCTTCTCTAACACATCAGAATTTCCACAAATGCTTTCAAAAACTTTTGGAAATGGTATCAAAATGATTCCTAGTGTATTTCAGGTGTGAAATACTACTGCCAAATCACACAGAAGTCATTTTTCATGAAGCACAGACACAATTTCCATAGAGATGTGTCAGGCATGGTATATTTTACTATAATTTTGTCATGAGGCACTGCTGACAACATCCTCATATCCAACCTGCCTGCACCTGTCCTGTTCCAAATACTCCTCAGTGATCCATAGAAGCATGGTCTAAGTACAGAGCACCAAGCCCATCCTGTCATTGCAACTGTTATGTTCAAGATTCCAACCTGATTCTCCAAGGAGTGTAATACTGTCTCTAACAGCATAGACTACCAGTCAGGGGAGGGAGAGGAGAAGTGGACAGGGGTAGAAGCATCAGTCTTTTAAAGTCAATCACTGGCTGAAGAATAGCCTTGTTGTAAATATATCTTCCACTAGTGAGCTGATATTGATTGCAACTGGCAGAGCACTGTTATAGCATGAGCTGAAAAGAAACTTGCGTTGTCATCCCTAGCTCACAGCAGCTGGAAGGATCAACTGGAAGGATTTCACAACATGGGGAGAGCCCTGAGAAACTCCCAGAATAAGCACGAAGGAGAGGAGTACCACCAGGACTTACCTAGGAGCTTTCTGAACCACTTTGGCTTCTTGTCCCATTTTTTTTTTGAATGCCAGTCAGGGTTATTGCAAATCCAATCCCTGTGTTCACTGGGTCGGAGTAAAGTGACAGTGCAACCATGAAGAGGCAGGTGAAGGAAAACAGTGCTGGAATAAACAGGGGAACCTGAAACATAACCACACAAAGAACCATTAAATAACAAGGTCAATGTAAAGTAATGACTACAGCATTTAACCTTCCATGAAATGTAAGTTGGATAACACCCAAGAGTACAGGACAGTTCTGGAGAAATATGCATATCTAGAACGTGCAGATAAAATGTCAGTGACTGCAGAAGCCAAGCCCTGCAGAGTGCCATGCAGTAGTACCACAGAAGTCTCTTAATTACACTCTGAAATACTACAGTGTTTTACATCCTTTAAAATGTAAGGACTGTAAATAAGTTACATTGTAAAAGTCCTTTCTCTAATCCCCCAGTAGATAAGTAAGCAGCTCTAACCACAGTAAAGATTTCCGCTTCGATAATTACCCATTAGAAAACATTTTAAAACACAACCAGGAGCTCAAGTCACCTTTTAAAACTATTAAGAGCATATTGATTTTCTTCCCAAGGTAAAAATCAAAATCCAGCAGGAAGAGAGCAAATTAAACACCAATTTGACTAGCGATAAAGATATTTGATAGTGTTATGCAACTGATAGCCACTAAAAAAACACTTTCTGACTGTATGACTGATAGCATTATCAGTGTCCCTGCTGAAAGCACACAAAATAACAATATCAAATTTATTTTCTCAATTTTCAAGAACACCACTGCAATCACTCTGCAAGCACCTCTCTGAAGGAAACGCCTACAGCCATGGCTTGTGAGACGTTCAGTGTAACGGAGAATTGGAGAATTCCTTGGAGATTATTCTCTTCCTTTCATGCCTCAGAGCATTACTGTTCCTCTTTTGTGCACTGTCAAAGCATTTTTTTTTCTTTTAATCAAAGCAAAATAGGTTGTGCTGTTGACCTCCTTATTTACAGATATACCTACAAGAATGCAACAGTGCACATTCTTAGTTCTTCCACAAAATAGGTTTCTTGGCAGCATCTAAATAGGGATACTTCCTCCATTTTTTTGATGATGGATGTTATCTTTCTGGATATACAATGGGACAGCTTACTTTGTAAGATGTTGCTTAAAATAAGCAAGAAGAATGGCAGAACCAAAGCCAAAACAGCTACTGTTCAATGGGCTGGAGTATTAGCATTTACTTCCTGGATTCACAATTTCTGTCTCAGCAAATCCATTGCAAGTCTCAAATATTATAATAAAAGTGCTAACCACTTATATACACAAAAAAATTTGGCACATTTGATATTGGATAGACAATGACATAAATGTTTTATATTAATACTTATGCTTGACATGAATTTTAGAGACAAAATCATTCAGGCCTTTGTCAAGGGAGACATTAGAGGACTGGCACGTGTAATCCCAATATTTGAAGTTTGAACCCCTTGTGACTACACAGGGGTAGAGGTATTTTCACACAGCTTGCATCAAATGGCCTCAACACAACAGACAGGCAAAACTGAGGAAACCCCTTCACCTCAGCACAGCAGCTTCAGTCACTGCCCCCCAAGCACTAGGGAAGAGGCAAGAATTGCCTTTCAGAAGGGAACACAGTTGGGGTAGCACTGGGGAGCTTGCAGGAAAACAGTCAGAGAGCCTTCAGTGGAAAAGGCTATTTTCTCTTAACTCTGTTTTTCTTGAAAAAGAGGTTAGCTTGCTACATCAGAAAATGCTCCTTTGCTGTCTGGCTACAGGATGGAGGGGAGGGAGAAGGATTCATGTAAAACAGTAGAGAGCAGAGGTTACCTTGAAAGGACGATGCATATCAGGACGTTTATATCTGAGATAAATCAACCCAGCGACTACTAGTCCAATAAAAAGCCACCTGGCAAAACTGAGGAAATTCAGGAGGCTGTAGAGATCCCCATTGAATAACATTATCATTGTGAGAGGATACTGCAAAAGAAATTCAGAGCATAAGAGGGGTTTAGTGGATTGATCTCTATTATTTTACAGCAGTGACATCAATTTTTTCCACAGGGACAAGCAGCACAGCATTTTGCACACACCTGAGTGCCACAGACTTCAGGCTTGCCTTTGTCATGCAATTGATGCCTAACTGTCCCCTGAGACCAAGTTCAAACAATATCTGTCCTGGGTGGGCACACATGATCAATACAAATCTGTCCCCTGTGACCCAGACAAATACACAGGCACACAGCCCACTTCATCACCAAAATACCTGAGCATCCTGAGCAGCATTCTCATGGGACCTGACAAGTATATTAGCCCACTCCAGATTTAGTCACTCATCACTGATGCAAATGATAAAAGCAGTTAAATTTTGGCTGCATCTGATCATATGAAAGCAGAGGTTTCTAGGTGTTTTTGTGAAAGGGATAAAGGTTTAGAGTCCCACAGGTTGCAACAGGGGAAATGAGCAAAGAGGGCATGGCAAGGGGCAGCTCCACACCATGGGATGCCGGCTGGGAATATTGGGTCACCACCAGCTTAGTTTTGCAGTGTGCCTCCCAGGGTGTGGACTTATTGCACATTGTAAATGCAAACATTTCTAAGCAGAGAAAAGCATTCAGCTGTCACTCAGGCAGCTACTGAAGAACAAGAAGGAGAGGGGACACCAGAATAAATACATTTTCTCATTAAAAAGCTGATCTGAGATACAAAGCTTCTGTGAAGCAGGCAAAATCTTCTGTATAAACTGAAGTGTTTGGGTTAGATGGTTAGTGTAGGCTACAGGGTTCTATTTCAAAGTAGTATCTGAACAAAAAAAGTCCTTGAATTTGGAGATGAAGGAATGAGACAAATTCACCATAGTCCTTATTCTTCAGTAAGAGGGAAGATCCTGGCAGTGAGAGCTTTTAGGTTTATAGTAAGACGACACATGAAATCAACTGCAGATGCAGTAAAACACTAAGCTAAATCTTTAGCCCCATAATGAAAACTAACTTGTATTAGTTATCTCGATTCACAGCCTCTCTCTCCTTCCTTTGTTTTTTTTCAAAGCAGTGAAGACAACATGCATTTGAACCAGAAGAATCAATATTTCAAAGGTGAGTCTCTGGCTTCCAACCTCTAATGTCTTCTAAAGTACTTGGTTCTTTACACACAGATATTAAGCAAACTCCTTCTATGTAAAGGTCAAAGAAAATTTTACCACTGAATTATATTGACAAAAATTTTTTTTCTCAATAGTCTTAGTCCTTAAAAGTTTAAAATCTCAGTCGTAATGAGAATGCAAGTGAAGGAGAGTTATCAAGAAAAATATAATAAAGTAGGATTACGATCAGGTTGTATGACTTCTTGGAGTCACCACACACACATCTGTCAAATAGCAGGACATACATAAACAGATTTCTTAGTTCCTAAAAATGCTTGTGGCTTTTTATTTAACAAGCCTCAAACACATGCTCATTTTCTCAGTTTATCCTCAAGAGCTCTTTACTTTCTTACAGTGTGTAGACCTTGGCAGGAGAAATAAAAAAGGGAGATGCTCAAATGCAAACTACTGATGCAGAATATATCCTACAACTGCTCTATCTGCAATAAGGCAAGGTAAAAAGTGCAAACTTTGAAGAAAAGCCATCTTCATGTGAGAATCTATGACTTTTTCAAAGGAAATCAATGCACTAGTGTAATGGGACCATATGCAATAGCAGCAAATGTCTGTCAGGAAAAAAAATTCATACATTTTGTGCATTTCATTCCACAGAAAACAGTCAATGCAATTTACCCAAAAGGTATGACTACTTCACCCAAAGAAGTAAAATGCATACAAGCTAAATGCTTACGGGAAATGAATTTCATTAAAAATTTTCATCATAATCACATGGCCTAATATCCAAAATATTATGGTTCTATGTGCATACATAAAATTCAACACTGACACTTGAGAAGTGTGCTTATAGGCATTCACTGATTTTAATTCCACTATAAGCATCTGATCTTACTAGTGTAGACTCATAGATGCATCTTTTGATGTGGTTAGAACCTGCCAAAGAAGCAGAGATCTGTCCAGATGCATTAGAGTCCTTGATCCCAAAAGAGGGGCTGAACACCCCTGGTTATGAAGACGGCAAGTTAAGTGAAAATCTTCCTGCCACTACGCAAACTGAGTTTGGAGGTTGCTATTTTGACATTTCGTCCTAACATTTTAACATACAAATTAGTCTGCAGTGCAAACACATGGCCAACATTTACCTCGGCTGCTATTTTAGAAGTCAGTAATAGGATTTCCACTAGAACACCAGTGGTTTTCCTTAGACAATTCACAGGCTATTTCCCAGGCACACGTTCTCTCATTTTTTAATCACCACTACACTGCACTGCTGAGGGTTCCTCCTCCATTATCTTAGTGCATAATTGTTTGCATTTTTCACTATAAGGTAGTATAATGAGCCTTTAGGGTGCTCCCAGATGCTGGTGTTTAGCTGCACTTTCAGTTAACTGAATCCCTTTTTTGTTTGTTGGGGTTTTTTTAACTGGAATTTGTTTATCTGAAAGGGAATTAGCTCATCACTAGCAGGTCCTTAGAAATAAAGAGCAATAAGACACGAATTAGGTTGCAGTGATAGGCAGTCAAGTGGTCTGACAAAAAAAAAAAAACCAACATGAAGGAGATAGAATAAGAACAACTCCCAAATCTCATTCCTCTCTTTCCTGTCCTCCACCCTGCCCAAAGCCCATGTACACATTAATAAATGAGACTCAAGCAGTGCCCAAATTCTGTTCAAATCCTCTAGAGCAAGGCTGTAATATGAATTCTAGTGCAGGAACATTTGTTTGTATGATTTACCAAAACAATGACAGCTGGCAGAGGAGTATGCTTGCGGACATGAATCATGGAGAGAATTTCTGGAAGGTGACCCTCGCGGGAGGCAACGAAGAACATCCTGGTGGGAAATAAATGTGGACAGACTTTAAATGTGCTCATTACTGTGACTACGTGAAGCGGCTCATGAAAGTCACAGAGCACAGTGGCACTTCTTAGTCTTGTTTGAGGTATTCTGAATGAAAACACTAGCAGGAGAAACCCATATGCAGAAATCAAAGCAATCTCTGAATGTGGCCCTTGATAGGCATTTGGTGTTAGTATTTTCCCTCCGATTTCTCCCTTCACATAAAAAAATAAGCAGACATTAATTAAGGGCTATCCTCAGAGGGACCCATTTCCAAACCATTCAAAGTGTTTTAACGATAATACACTAAAGTCAACAGGAACAAAGTGAGAAAAAGCCCCACACCTGGTAAATGTTTTTCATATCTTGCTAAAGGAATGAATCCTACTCTCCTTTCCCCTTGTTTCCTTACTTTCAGTGTGTATCCCAAGCTCTCACTCCCAGTAACATCAGCAATGCTCACCTGGAGACTGCAAAAATGCCACCATTCATAGATCCAAAGCAGGAGAGAGCAACAAATACTGGTACAGCTAAAGAAAAGTTTCCCATTAGTCGTTCAGCAAAGGTCTGTTAGGGGAGAGAGAAACATACAGTGATTTTTCATAAAACAGGAAAGTAATTGGACTGTATTAGCAAATCATTATGGCAAGTGTTATTTATTCCCCTTTTCTACATCCCTCACCTAACGTTGCGCTGTGCATTTGTTGCCTCTTGCTTTGTGACACTATGGCTACTACAGCTGAGCTCTCCCACTCTCACTGGTGTGTGCATGTGAAGGATTGCTGGCTACTACAGCTGAGCTCTCCCACTCTTACTGCTGCGTGCATGTGAAGGATTGCCAGTTGAAGCAATGCTGAGGAGGTGGATTCTAGCCCTGCTTTATGCCAATTTAGAACATTATGACTCCAAAAAAGAAAAGCCAGTCTGAATGGATCAATGTCTGACCTAATTTATTTTTTTTTCTGCAGCCTTCATTGTATTCAGCTGATGCTACCCAATGGTACAGTCCATCTATTCATGCTTTAGTGTTCTAGGTTACCAGAAGAGCCTTAATTGGAGCTTGAGGCACCACAGGAGATATTTTTCTTTATGTTCGCAAAATGTTTTCTTTTTAAATCTCCCATTAGCTACAGAATTTGGTCATTTTTCAAAAACCACATCAAGCTACAGGCAGTGGAGAGGAAACTGGAAAGGAAACAGAGTTTTTTATTTCCGCATTGTGACTCGGATACCATAGATATAAAAATTGGTGTCGTCACAACAATTCAGCAAGAACATTCAGCAAGAACAATCAAAGCAGTATTTCCTAGACAGATTGTCTTGCAATTCCTTCCCAAATGACCTCCAGTATTCACAGCAATCTCCTTCTTAAGTACTCAGGACATGCACTGTGCAAAGACAGTGTTAACATCTCTTGCTACAAAAGATAGTTCCACTTCCACAAAATTCCTGCGTTTCCTGCTTTCCAGGACCTGAGCTTAAAATTTAGCACTGAATTTTTCAGGCATGACCTTGGTTATAAATTTTATGTCCAATTGACTTTGTTACAAATGCCGTCAATGGCCTTAAACGCAATCTCACTCATCAGACAGAAATCAGACTAATTTCACCAGGATGCTAATAAGTAGTGCCATAGAAAAACCTGATTGGATGTGTCCACCCAATTTCTTTTTTTCCCCTGGAAAAAAGAGTATGTCAACGAACATAACTGCAGCAGGGATATAACTTTGTATTATTCTTCTGTAACTTACCACTGCTACAGCTTTTGAAAGCAGCAATTCCCCAGCACTGATTGTAGTGAAATAAGCCACGTTTGTTAACACATAGCCAACTGTGACGATAATCATTGAAATGCATATTGCGAGGGGTATGTTTCTGAAATACACAAGGTAGCTTATTATTTTGCAATCTGGTTGCTAGTCCCTGAACATGAAATAAATAACATGAGAAGAAGCCACTAATGATGGTGAATGCACATTTGGTGATCCTGAAAAATCATAATTAGAAACTACCAGTAAAAAAATGAACAGAACCATCTAGACAAAGCAAATAGGTTTATAATGAAGAGGCAAGAAACCATTTGATGGAGAAGTCCTTTAGGGACACCAAGAGGCTGTGTTCCCCATGCTGCCAATACAAGAAGTATGGCCCATTTGAGCTGCCTGCTAAGACTGACTTTCAAGCTGAACCCAATAGGAAGGCAGAAGTTATCACTGGCTGAACCAGCAGCAAGGCAGATGACAGGTGCAGGTGATCCAGCTCTCTATCAGGAGAGCAGTCACAGTGGTATCTCCAACATACCTACTGGCACTCCATGACTGACCTCCTGGATATGTTTGACATCTTCCTCTGGATGCAAAAATATCCAGCATGAGAAATTCTGCCCTTTCCTCCTCTGTGCATTTCTTCCCTCTCACACCTTACCAAATCCCAGTTACCTATCTCACTATTCAGGGGAACGTGAGAGCAGAATATGACACAGAAATAGAAACAGCACAAATTTGCACTGTTAGCACAACACAGACAGTATTGAACAGCACAACCCCCCTGACATCTTAGCTAAAAGGCAGAACAATAGCAAACAAATAATAATGCCAAACATTTGTATAGCACATCCTTCTAGTCAGAAAAGGAGAATCATTTCTATTTTAAAAAAGAGGAACAGAGACAGTAAATTCATCCAAAGCTATACTGCAGGCAAATGTTTGAATCAAGAGAAAACCACAAATGCTTCAAGCATTACTCTAGTCTCTTTCCACTTAATATTATTGATATCTGTATCACACCAAGAAAATACTCAGACGTGAAACTAATATTTGGTCCTCTAATTCCAAGGCTGAGAGCTGCAATACATATTCTCTCTCTGAGGAGAGCTGAGTGCTCCTGCTTCATGGCCAGTTCCCTCCAGTTGTCTATACCAAGGCTGCTTTATAAGGGATGGAGAGGTTGCCATATTTAGAGAACTCTGTTGGGAAGATGGGAGAAAGGAGAGACAGAACTAGAAGCTCTGGTGTTCCAGAAGAGATCGCAAGTACAATCCTAAAGGACTATTGTAATTACCTCAAAGGAAAAGGTGTTTTGAAAACCAAGACCAAGATCCATTCTTTTCTGGTATTTTTGTCAAAGAAACACAGTCAGTCTGGTCAGAATTTAAGGATCCTCAAGACCAGTCTTGATTTCTCAAATAAATCCTTTACATCAGTATGCCTGTACAGAGCTGAAAACAAACTCTAAACTGAGACTAAAATAAACATGATTTATAAATAAGTAAAGCAGGACAGTATTGCTGTTGCACAACTTGCCCACCTTAGAAACCATGGTGTCAAATACTCCCATGAACCTGGACACACAGGTAGGTAATAGGATCATGCTGTAATGTAACACCAAATCTGAGCAGACATGATGATATTACATTAACCCATTGCTATATCATGCTCCCATTATCAGGGGAAGAAACTGGAAAAAGGGAAGCCAGTCAGCCTGTAGGATGTGCTTGTTGGTGGACAAGCTGGCAGCAAGGACCAGAGCAAAGAGCCCAGAATACAGGTGCTGTATTGCTGGAAAACCCACAAAGTTATGGGCTCAAGAAATATTGCAGCTCTATATGCTGATAATATGTGCAAAAATGGGTTTTGTAGGTCAGTTGTCAGATATTTTGCAACCAGTTGGGTTAAGCTTCTTACATGACCTGGGTGTAAATTGAATTCAATCCTCTTAGCATCTGATTCAAGGTAGGGATACATAGATTCAAAGCCTCTCAGAACAGGGATTTTAACTATATCTTCTGCATCACAGATGAATGCTTCAATTACCAAGTTACTGGATAAATCAGCACTTACTCCAACCTTAAAAAGAATGTTTCCAGGCAAAGATAGCAAATTTGGACTATTTTCACAAATACAATTAAAATGACTGAAACCAGATTGTTAAGCTTAAGGAACTATCTTTGTCCATTCTGACTGTTACCAAACACCCTGTATTCACATCTAATTTTAATCCCAGTCTAACTTCTGCTAAAATAAAATGGTAGTCAGAACTAAGGGGCAAAAAATATTCACACTTCCAAATGTGATCATTTTCTTAGCACTGCATGTCCTGCCTTGTTATGCTGAAAAGTACTAACCCCCTTGGATAGTAATACCAACAGAAAAAAAACCACACTCAGGAGAAGAATAAAACCTCTAAAAAAGCCAGAACTAGTCAGCAAGCATTATTCATTAAAAAGCCTGCAAATGGTAGCTCAGTGCCTGGAGCAGCACAAGGGATCCTGTGACTTCTAAGCTCCTGAGTCCTTGTTTTTGAGGGAAGCAAGCACTCAGGCTGCACCTCCTTTTGTCTCCTGGCAGGAGCAGAACTTCAGAAGGCTGTCATACATCCACACAACCCTTCCAAGTGTTGCTTATTAGCCACTACTTTCAATGACAGATTTAGACAAAAATAAAAGGCTAGTTACAAGATTTCAGGGCTGAGCAATATGGTATGGTTCATTTCCCACTGACACTTCTATTCATATTTGCACTTGGTCCTCAGATTGCCTGAAAGCACAGACAGGCAGGTACAAACCATATGTAAAACCACTAAGTGGGAGTTTTAATAGTGTCTTTTCTATCTATCCAATTTAAGAGGCAGTTCCCAATTTGCAACAGGATCCTATTATCAAGCTCTCTGCTAGGAACTACAGTTGCCATGATGGAATAAAAACTGTAATGCCATTACCAATAAAGATTACTTCCTTTCCTTGGAGGATCACTGTACCAATTTTCTTGGAATATTTTAGATATTCTCCTAGGCTTCCAAATCTTCTCTCTAAATGAGAAGAATCATACCTAAGTTCTATTCTCCATTAAACTGACTCTATTGATGCAGGTTTCACCTTTTCTCTTTCACATCCTCTGAATCACACACAACACAGGATTGCCAGCACACTGATAAGACATGTTTCTGATACAATGCAAATTCACAACTGCCTCGCAGCTAGATGAGAGTTTTGGACTAGAGAGAGATGGAAAATTCAAGGAAAACATATTTTCCACTTTAAGATTTTTTTTAAGATGTTGATTCATCAAAGCTAAAATTTTCTGATGCAAAACTTGACTTTATCAGTAAGACATTTCTTAGGGGAAAAAAAAAAGCTTATAACCAAAACAGGGACCTCATCCAACTCAGAATGTTCAATGGCTTAAGAACCATACCACTGTGTGTGCTCAGATAAAGGAGACTGAAGTATTTTCTTTACTTCAAGCAAGCCCAGGACTCGAACTTGCGTTGGAGTGGCGTTGGTTCTTTCCTTTTGCACTTCATCTCAGAAAGAAACCTCAACAGATTTCAAAATCAAGAACAATTCTTTTCAAACCAGCTGTTTGTCTGAGTAGACCCTGAGGTGCTGATTATAGAATCATCATAGAATGGTTTGGGGTGAAAGAGACCTTAACGATTCATCTAGTTCCAATCCTCCTACCATAGGCAGGGATACCTTTCACTAGACCAGGTTACTCAGGTCTCCATCCAACCTGGCCTTAACGTTAGCTCCAAACCTATACAATTAGTTCGAAATGTCTTGAGTATTACTGTCAAGATGATATTCAAGCAGGTTGCTGCTTGGTTAGAAGGGGAAGCTGCTGCCAGGATAGTCTTTTTTGCGATATTCATCTCTTCTCCCAAAACTTCCCAAAAATCAGTATCGAAAGGGAAAGAAAATAATCTGAGGAAACCCGAATCAGTCAAATATTGACAAAAAAATTAAAATCTTTATAAAAGCAGATGAAAAACAATAAGGATAGCTTCTCTGCATCTGAATGTTGACTAAACTTGAACTGAATCTCCACACCTTTTAAGATTTATCCATCCCTAGCTACTATTCAAGGCTGTATCTTCCCCTTCTGCCCTATATATAAAGCAACTGTAATGAAGAATCACAACAGCTTGAACAAAGTGCACATCTACCTTGCGCTTCCCAGAAAAACAGTCACCAAGGAGCCTACCATCACAGAGAAATTCAGCATTGGTAATACAGTTAGTCCATCCTGTTCTATACAGGGCTGAAATGTGCTGCCAAGCAGTGCTGTATATGACTTGGAAGAAAGTTTCCTTCCTCTAGAGCCTGTAAAGGACCTCAGAGTGAGGGCATATGGTTCAGTTAATCAGGATTACTACTGGGTTTTGGATGTAACCTTCAGCATTGCAGAATCATAGATCTTCTGATAATAGGCTCTAGTACATCTCTATCTCCTATAAATATTTTTGCGAGAACAACCACAGAACAGAGCAAGCAAGAGAAGGGGAAAAGAGAGAAAATAAGAAGGGAAAAAGAGAAAGAAAGCCAGAGCAAGGACCTGGGGATAAGAACAACAATGTCAAATCAGCTGAGAAACATTCTCAGAAGTCTACAGTACATATCCCAGTACAATGACAACTTTTATAACAACAAACAGTGTTAAATGCTGTGACCACTGTGGGATGTCCTTATTATAAAATGACGAACACACAGTCAAATACAAATACACCCCACCAAGCCAGCTGAGTTCTCAAGGGTGGAACACGTTATTGCCACATCCATTGTTGTTTAGGGGCCATGTCAAAATAATTTTCTTGCATCTATTTAAAAAGCCAAATTTTACAAATGATCAGTCTCTCAGTCAACCGTCCTGAACACAGCAGCACCAGCAGGACCCAGGCAAGGAACAGAAATAAGGTCTACATAAATCACTTAATTACTGATAAAGTTGGATGAAACTGCATCTTTACTGTACTAGGGAAATTGTGGAAGATACTTTATGTTACATTAAAATTTTAAAATAAAATAATAAAAAAGGAGAGAGGGAAAGTCCTAATTCCCTCACATGATTTCCAGGCAAGGATCTTCATGAGCATGATGC